TTCCTAACACAGGTAAAACACCTGCTCTTAACAGAACTGTCACTCCCCTCCCCAGGGACTTTCATAGACAGGACTAAAACACCACTAAAGCAGCAGAATGCAACTTTCATACGCCTTCTGGGTCAGACAAAGTGAAAGATGGAGTCAGCAAGCCAGGGCCAAGGACACACACCCTAAGGTCATGCTTCATTCATTTATTTTAAAATTCCTGAAATGTATGAAAAGACTAAGTGCCCAATTCCCCTGGGACATGTATTTCGGTGTTTCCTGTTCTTGGCTCTACTGAGTCCTGAAGTCAGAGCAGCCTCTGGAGAGTTAGTCCAACCCGTTGCTTTAGCAAGGAGGAAACTGAAGCTGTCCCGCAGCTCACAGAGCCTTCGGTGGAGGAATCCAGACTAGGACAGAAGCTCCCAAATCTGAGAAGGCACACAGCCTAGAGAGCTCCCGTGCCGCCTTTAACTTTTCCAGCAGACGTACAAGTGATCCATAATCAAGTCCTCAATCAATAACCACGTAAGCATTACCCAGCAGACCAGACTCCAGACCAGACTCCTCACGGTTCAGCTTCTCTCTAGACTGATAAGGAGCTCCTGCTCATCTTCACACCTCTCCTGCTGAAAGCAACAAGAAGCTGACCTGTGAATTCAGGCGTCTGAGGTCTCTGTGGTCACCTGGGAGGCACCTGCTGCGTCTCCCACACACATGCAGGTCCTTCTTCCCACAGCTGCAACGAGCCTCCTTCCTGCATGATCCTTTCCCTCCAAACCACAGGGTACAGTCAGTAGAACCCACCCTCAGGGAGGTCAGCACCCTTCGTAAACTACGGCTCTCGAAGTGTTTAGAGATGTGTTCTTTCTCCATGCTCCCAGCTCAGGGCACTTCAGGTGGCAGATCCCTCTCAGCTCAGAGCACTTCTGGTGGCAGATCCCTCCTAGCTCAGGGTACTTCTGGTGGCAGACTTTGATCCTGCTTTGTGGTCTTGTCCCAGCTTGTGCGCGTGACTTCTGGTTGTGGTGCAGAACGCATCTCACTGAACAGCAGACAGCTCATGCTCATGACACTCTCTCCTCTCTTGCTGGTACGTTCAATCCCACAGATGTTCTCAAGGCATTTCCATCATATGCTGGATCAGCAATTCTCAAAGTGTGGTCCCCCTCGAGGGGCGCACAGCTTCATGAGACGCCCCTGTTCCTTATGCTGTGGCTGTCTACACTGACGGTAAGGCAGTGCTGGCTGCCCCTGCTGGCGCCTGAGCACAGACTGGGTCAGGGCTGGGGCTGCACTGGGCTAGGCAGGGCAGGGCAGGGCAGGGCAAGGCAGGGCTGGGCTGGGATGGGACTGGGACTGGGACTGGGCTGAGGCTGGGTCAGGGTCAGGGCTGGGGCTGGAACAGGGCAGGGCTGGGGCTGGGGCTGGGGCTGGAACAGGGCAGGGCTGGGGTTGGCTGGGGCAAGGGCTCACAGGGACTGGGCTGGGACTGGGCAGGGGCTGGGGCAAGTGCTCACAGAGACTGGGCTGGGACTGGGCTGGGACAGAGGCTGGGGCTGTGCTAGACAGTATTGGGGCTGTATTGGGAAGTACTGGGGCTGTGCTGGGCAGGGCAGGGCAGGGCTGGGGCTGGAACAGGGCAGGGTTGGAGCTGGGGTTGGGCTGGGACAAGTGCTTACAGGAACTGGGCTGGGACTGGGCTGGGGCAGGGCTGGGTAGGGCTGGGACAGGGCTGGGACAGGGCTGGGACAGGGCTGGGTAGGGCTAGAGCTGGGCAGGGGCTGGGGCAAGGGCTCACAGGGACTGGGCTGGGGCTGGACAGGGCAGGGAAGGGGCTGGGGCTGGGCAGGGGCTGGGGCAAGGGCTCACAGGCTCTGGGCAGGGGCTGGACAGGGCAGAGCAAGGGCTGGACAGGAGCTCCACTTGTATTCAACAGGCAACTGAGGTAACTGTGGTTATGCGAGGGGTATATGGCAGACACTTTCTCAGAAATGAATTAAGTAGACTCTCAGTTTAAAGAATTTTCAAGATTTTAAGTGAAAACTTGAGGACTGGAAAGTGTGTATCTGCCAGTGTCCAGCTGAGAGCTTCTAGTCCTCCAGGGTTCTCGGAGGCTGGGTGCGCAGCACAGCGACAAACGCTTGTTTAGCATCCAAGAGGCCTGGGCTCAATCCCCAGCACTATGGCAATAATAATAATAATAATAATAATAAAATATTTTTCTGATGAAATCAGCAGTAATAATAATACTGAGGTTTTTTTGGATGTCCTGTAGGGAAACATAGTCAACATTTGTAAGATCTACTGTAACTCAGTGAATATGTATTCTCTAAATGTTAGAAAATCATGCATGAGTAAAAGTCAAGACAGATGAAGGATGTTAATGTAACAGAGCACAAAATGTTCACTGCCATGGTTTTAGATTCACAGTAGAACTAACCCTTAAAGAAGCTCCCACTTGTTGCAGGGCAGTGTCTGAAAAAAACCTGCACTCCTATTTGACAGATTACTGGAATGCTTCTCTCTTCTCCAGCCATGGCACACACATAGGGCTGAGTTTCCCCTTCATGTAATTCCCACAGAACAACAATGCAACATAACTAACAGAGGCAGATATAAAAGTCTGGGCTTCTGTTACACCAGAAATTAAAGAGATTTACAAAAATTTAAAACAATCCCACTTTTCTCATTGTTTTTGTACTAGAAAATAGTTATTCTTAATAAAAATGTTATTTATGTTATCATGCAACAGGTTTGTTATTTATTTAACAATTTAGTAAGCCTTTTGGAGATTTGTTTTAATTTTTAATCTTGTAAACAGAGATAGATGTAATCCATGGAGAAAAATGCTCTTGGGAGCCCTTGATAAATTTTAAGAGTGTAAAAGGGTCCAGAAGGCAGAGCATGGGCCACACTGGGCTGCGTGGCCTGAGCTCCTGACGGGGCTTTGAGCAGATAATCCTGGAGTCTCAGCTTTCTACTTTTACAAAATGGGAGCAACACCCAACCTGAGGACTCCGAGGGAACTGCAGTATGGGGACCCACACACAGGGCAGGAGGCCAGAGCCGCCAGCAGGTCTGCAAACCGGACACGTGCCCTGGAGAAACACTCCCAGGACCAGGTAAAGTCCAGCAGACTCACTGGGCCCTCACAGGTGGTCAACGCCTCCAGGGTTTCTATTTTATTTTTCTTGTAACATAGAAAATTTAAACCTAGATAATGCAAAGTGCTCTTAGGATTCTGGGGTGAAGAGTGGCTGTTGAGCGTTTCACTCATCGCTGTCAAGGTGCCAGCACAACTCGTAAGGCACACCTCAGTCCACATTTCAGAGCACTCTACCCACGGAGTGGTGGCTGGGGATAGGAGGGACCAAGGACACTGACAACAGGAGAACCGCGATAAACCGCAGAAAATGGTAAGCTTTAGGGACGGCTGGGGAGTTGGATGTAGTTCAAACAAGGCTGGCTCATTTGCCATTTGTAAGAAAGCCTTTGGACACAACTGGCTGCTTATGATTCACACTTAGCAGCACTTGAGTTATCACAACACTCACATCCTGCTTTGCCAGACCATGCAGCTTATCTGTGTGCATGTTTCTCAATCTGCAAGCACACATGCTTTGCACCACCGCAACACACTAACATCACCTCAGCTGTAAGCAGCTTACAATCTTCTCGTTCTGCTGACCATCCTTTATGTCTAGTTTAAAAACAAAGCAGAACACGCATACTCAAGCACAGTCCCAGCAGAATGCAAGAAGAGAAAAGTTCGGCTGGAGCAGCACCTTGTTTGAATACCATTCAAAAAAGTCTGAATATCAACTAACAGTTTAAGTGATTCATAACCACACTCCTATGTGCACTGTGATCCACAAAACCATGGAAGCTCGCTGCTCTCAGAAGACACCTCAGTACGCTGTCTGGCGAGCAGCAGGCACTTTGAGGCCTGGCCTGGGCTCAGCACGCAGCCAGCGTGGAAATGTGACCGTGCTGCTGTCCTGAGTTCCCGCCCCGCCCCGCCCCGGGCAGCAGAGGAGAGTCTGGATGCTTTTCTGGGAGTGGAGGGAGGCCTGTCCTGACAGAGGGGTGACTGGTGACAGCCTCCATCAGAAAGTTCCACGAGCACCACTCAGGTCAGGCTCAGGCTCCTCTTGGCCTCTCCCAAGCTCACTGCTGGTGGGCACTGTCCTGCAGCCTCCAGTGGCTGAGGAAGGAGGACACTCTGAAACAGGCAAGTGCCGCCACATAGCAGTCACAACCCAAAGGCTGGGTTTACCTTAAGTGACTTAGACCGTGGAGACGCAGCTCCTAGAAAAATGAGTTCGCTCTCCATAGAGAACACTCCCCTTGCCTCTCCATCAAGGCAGGCAGTGTCCCCAGCACTGACAAGGACACTAAGCTGGGGGGCTTGGCCACTCGACCGAGTGTCAGAGCTTGTGCCCGAGCAGCTGTGGGCAAGGTGTCTTTGGATCTGTGCTCCACCTTGCACCACTGTAGAGCTCAGAACTATTAAGTACAAACTTTCTGCAAGAAATCAACTTTGTCCTGAATTTCAAGAAAATTCCATATGAATTATGTCCACAATTAGGACATATGCTTAAGGGAAGATGTATAGAATAGTAATTATGGTATTTTGCAGCGTGGATTTCTAACTTATCAAACCCAAGTTTTTTATTTATATTTGCCTTATTATTCCTAGGGCTCTATAGCCAAGAAGTCGGGCTGCACGGTCGCGTGCGACACTGATGGGCAGGTAATGTTCCTCAGGCACTCTGGGACCTACTCGCTCAAGGCCGAAATCACCCTCAGAACCAGGTGCTATGATTCACACTCCCTCGCAAGAGGGGAACTGAAGAAAGGAAAACTAAGTGACTGCCCACAGGGTACCGCAAGCCCCAGACTGGCCTCAGACCCAGGTAGCTGGGCCCAGAGCCAAGCTTTATAGGCAAAGATGTCTGCAACTTCTCCTCACCACCAAGGTTTCTAGTTGACATTTAAAGGAAGTGTCCTACCTCAGGCTTACTCAGGCTGGATGAGACCAGGGAGCCGGATCCCACGTCCAAATCCCACTGCTTTTGACCATGATTCTCGGCATCCAAAGCGGCAATCCGTCCATCTAGAGTACTGATGATCACTAATGACCTGTGGATTCAAATGAAGAGGACAAAATCAGAAAACTGTCCAAGAGGCTGTGCACTTACTCCCTGCACCTGAAGGAACCCTGGCCCCCCCAGGCCCCCACTAGGGAGAAGAAAGAGGGGAGCCCACTTTCCGCTTCCACATCCCGCCACCACCATTGACACTACACTCCCTTCAGCTGTTTATATCAGGCATGAAAAGCCCCAATGCCTAGGTCACCGTCCTTCTACACCAAGTCCCATGGGGAACTCACTACCTCCTGCTGTCCTCTCCTCCCACCTCCTCCACCTCCCCAAAGCACTTCCCCTGAACTATCCTCCCAAATGTTGGCTCATCTTGCTCACATAGAAACTAGGCGCTCCCTAAGGACACAGATACCCTAGAGGAGCAGAGCATGCTGTTCTCCATGGCCCCTGACCCTGGGTCCCGATAGGTAGGTGTGTGTACTGCTGTGTCTCCATGTCGTGATCCCCCTCTCCCCTCTGGAGCCCTTGGGCTCAGACTGTTCCAGCATCACCTCTCCCAGGAGTCACAGAAGGACCCAACATCGCCAGCCAATTCCTGCAGAGCCCCAGGGCACCAGCCTGCTCCTGTAGGGGTCCGGGGGTTACCAGCCAACTCCTGCAGGGTCCTGGGGTCACCAGCTGACTCCTGCAGGGCCCCGGGGGTCACCAGCCGATTCCTGCAGAGTGTCTGTCAACTGCCGGGTTTCGGTCATGGCCTCACCAGCCTCTGTGGGTTCTCACCCCTCCGTTCGCCTCTCTCAGCCACTGCAGTGGTCAGACCTGGACTAGGGCATTACCAGCACCAACCTCCCTGCCCTCTGAGATCTCAAGCATCCGCCCAGCACCAACACCTCTGTCCAGCTCTCTCCCTGCCACTGGTCTATGGCCCTCACCCCATCGTGCCATTCCCCTGGAGCAGCCCCTGCACACGGCCCTTACTGCCTCTCCCAGACCCAGCTACGGCCAGCTCCCTCAGCTTTCCCTGCACTGCACAGACCCGTGGCAGGTGGAAAAGCCGGCCATGCTGACGGCTCACCTTCACTCACGACCACCACTCTGGAAAAGGGCTGGTGACACTGCACAAACTGACATCCTTCCCATGTCCCTCACCACCCCAGGAAGGAGCTTAACGTGGCCTTCCCTTCCTGGACTTCGGCCCCTAGCTCCTCTGAGCTCACCAGTCTGCCCAAGGAAGAAAAGGCAGTGCCTGGAGCACGCCTCCCACCACGGGACCTGTTCACCAGCACCAGACTGGACTCCAGCTTCCCTCCCATGTGCAGGTGAGCTGTAGGGTCCACTCCATCAGCCCCCCACTTCACCACAGCACTGGCCCTCCTGCAAAAGCAAGGACACCTCCAGCATCAAACCTGCCAATACTTCCTCTTGCTGAAAAATGAAACCAGAGACCTGTGAAGTGTCCAAACCTGTGATCCCAGCAGCTCAGGAGGCTGAGGCAGGAGGATTGCTAATTCAAAGACAGCCTCAGCAATGGGAGGTACTTAGCAGTTCAATGAGACCCTGTCTCTAAATAAAATATAAAATAGGGCTGAGGATGTGGCTCAGTGGTCAAGTGTCCCTGAGTTCAATCCCTGATACCGCCCCCCCCACTAAAAAAAAAAAAAAAGAAACCAGAACAAACAAAACTCTCTCTTGCTCTGGCTCCCACCCCATTCCTTGCTCTTTGCATCAAAACTCTTGGAAGAGCATTTCGTACTATCTCCACATCCTTCCTCCATTTTGAACCAGATCTCTGTCTGACTGCCCTGTCCAGCAGTTCCTGGAGTAGTCCCCAGGAGTCCTGTAGACAGCACCTGGGGCCAGGCTCAGGTCTCAGCTCACCATCCAGCAAGGTGGACCAGCTCCCCACCCCTCCACGAAGCACACTCCTTGGTGGCTTCCAGCTCCTAATTTTTTTTTTTTTTTACACTCAAGTCTATGCTAGTCTTTCTTGGTTTCATTTTTGAGTTCCTTCTCATCTTTTTTCCTCATAAAACACTCTCTACCATGTATATTTTTTGGTGCTCTGATCCAGTTCGTGGCATTAAACACCTTGTATGCTGGCAGCACCTGGCTCTCTCTCTGGCTTCAGGCCTCTCCCTGGGCTCTGGACATGCCTGTCTAACCACCTGCCCCTCCAAGTGCCCAAGAAGCTTCTGCAGGGAGACTCCCAGAGTTCCTTCACCACAGCAGGCATAGTTTTCCCTCAGGCCTTCGCATTACTGTGGTTCTGCCCGGAACACATCCCATCCAGGGCAGGCCCTCCATCAACCTCTGCTGAGTCACAGGCGAGTGCTGCAGGGATTCTAGACCTGCTGGCACATGTCTGCTCTAAAGAACATGCAAATCCCAAGCACATGGCCCTGCTGCTGGTGGGACCACAGAGACCACCCCCTCCCTTCCACTGACCAGGAGCACAGACAGACAGATCTGGAGTGTAAACCCACCTGAGATCTTTCAAAACACAGTCTACCAAGTGAAGCCACGAAATTATTCATTTCCAAACTATACACTCATTCTCATTTTGAAATTTCCTAATGGTAACTCTTGGTCTAGTTTGCAAAAATAAAGGCTTTGCCAGGCTACAAATCTTACACTTCCAGATGACAGGCAGGAGAGAGCCAGCTCCTCTCCCACCATGCACTCCTGGGTAAAGCAACCCGGCAGCAGCTGGAGGAGGCTTCCAGGAAGGTCCGCGCTTGAGGACAGAATCTGAACAAGCGATAGGCCACAGGGTGATAGCCCAGCTGGTTCTTTCCCAGTCCTGCTATGGACACGTCCAGTTTTCTGTTCAAGATCTCTAATGCCAATAAATGGCCCAATGACAGTAACAAAAATCTTCAACTGAAACAGAAATGATGTGCAGGCAGCAGCAACCCGTGAAAACCTACAGAGGGTGCCGGCACTTGAACGCGGCTGTGTTAAGATTGAGAACCCACATGTGGACGGACCGCCTGGGACACTCCACTTACACAGCCCACACTGGTCTTTGAGTATTGCTAACTCTACCTTCACCTTCAGAACAAAGAAACTAAACAATAAAATATGCCCAGACACATGTCATATGTATAAAAAAACATATTTTAACAAAAACTTGGTTTAATGTGTTAACTATTCTTTCACTAAAAAACTATCACAGGGTATACTGAACTGAGTCAAATGTTGTGCTTTTTGGCCAATCCATTCTGCTTTTTAAAGTAAATGAGGTATTTTAATAAACTATTATGTTTAAATGATATGAGAATAACAATATTGCAAACTTGAGCAATATTTCAAAATACAAACACAGGCAGGAACAACCGAGTGTATCACTGACCTAACTGCTATTCGCTCCTGGATTTGCATGGGCACCTTTCATTATTTCAACCCCTCTTCATGTGAGTAATAGCAACCCCCTAGCTAGCTGTCAGGTGTCCACCAACACACACACATACACACACACACACACACATGCCCCATTCACCCTCTTTCATGGCCCGAGCCTGGGTGCATTATAAACTAGCTCCTTCATACTGCAGGTGTCCTGAGGGGGATTCCTTTTAGCTGCAGCTGATGCAGCAGCACAGGACAGTACCAACCGGCCACTATTTAGACCACCTAACCACCATCCAAAAGGGGGATGCTCACTGGCATAGACTGAGAAAAGCATAAAATAGATACTGCTTTAAAAAAAAAAAAAAAGTACTTAGAGGCCAGGCACAGTAGCACACGCCTGTAATCCCTGAAGCTTGGGAGGCTGAAGGCAAGAGGATCAAGAGTTCAAAGCCAGCCTCAGCAATGGTAAGGCATTAAGCAATTGAGGCAGACCCGGTCTCTAAATAAAAAAATACAAAATAGTGCTGGGGATGTGGCTCAGTGGTTGAGTGCCGTTGAGTTCAATCCCTAGTACCAAAAAAAAGAAAAAAAAAAAAACTTAGGTTGAATGCAGGGGTGAAAGATCAGTAATAAGATATGGCATCAGAACAAATGTAGAGATAAAAAGCAGGGAGAACACAGGCCATTCATCTCCCCATGATGACCTTATAAAGAAGATGAAAAGCGCTCACTCATTCAAGAATTGAAGGGACTGCCGGGCACTACTGGAGAAGAGGACAGAGCCTGCAGTCAGACCTGGGCACACACCACAGCTTTGCCCACTTTCTCCAGGCAAAACTCGGCTACGTCCCCTGTCCCTGTCTAACTCACACCTGCCCGACCTTACCAACAATCTGCAGTGTTGATTCAAAACTATTAAGGTCACAGGTCCCATCCCACAAGGGGGCTTGGAGGACACATCTCAGCAAACATCCCAGGTGGGTTTAAAGAGAAGGGTAACAGTGCAGGCCCTGACTGGCCTGGAGAGCCATTTCCTTGAAGAAGAAAGAAGTCATTTATGGCCTGGAGCACGTCAGCCAGTAACTGCTTTAAAATGTCTGTTCCTCACACCTTGTTGCTTGGATGGTTCCACAGTGAGTACTGTTCTGGGTCCTCCAAGCTCCCCGCAGGAGAGCCCGCTGCTCTCTGTCACACCCACCTCCTCATCACATCTGTGCGCCCAGAAGCCACGAAGCAGTGGCAGGCCAGCGCCTCACCATGGACAGCCTTCAGCAGACTGACTATCTGCACCTTCCTGCATCTTCTGACCTTCTGTCCTTTAACATCTTCTGTCCTGCATCCTCTTCCTTCAGGTCCACACCCACAGCCTCCTCTCCAAACCCACAGAGTTCCAAGCACCTTCTCCTCCACCTGCTTCTCCACCAGGACCTCCTCCTACACGGCAGAGCATCTGTCTCCCAGCACTGAACAGGATGTCCACTGGGTCTGTGCCCTCTACCCCACACTGACACACCAGCCCTGTGCTCACGATCCACTTCCAAAGCTGCTCTGAAACCTCTTCTTGCCTCAGGCCACCACCCCGGGCTAGAAAAGGGGCTCCAAGATAACAGCACCCCAAGGGGCTCCGACACCTTCCTGCCACAGCTCTTCCCCTCAGCTATGTTCTACAGCTGAGATCTGATAACCCGCTGCTTACCCAAGGGAGGCCACACTGCCTCTCCTGTCCAGGAGCCCCAACCTGGTACCAGTGCACTTCCTAATGTCCCTTGTGCCTCTTCTGCCCATGCAACCTCCTTTCCTGCACCTCTCAAATGAGCAGCACCTTCAGGGGCTCTACCTCTCCCTGCCCCTCCTCACCTGCAGCACCCCAGGGATTTACCTGTCCCTGCCCCCCTCTCCTGCAGCACCCCAGGGGTTCTTCCTCTTCAACAAAGTTCCTTTGCTCATTTATGTTTTGACCTGTGTCTTCAAATATTTCATTTGCCAAATGAATACTGTCTCTCATGAATTACTCCATCTCTAAAGGAAATACTTAAGAGTCAATCTAACTATTTAGGATGTCTGGAAAGAAATAAACATAATTATTATCTAAGGTTTGATATAATTCTAGCTCAAAGCAAAGAAACTTGAGTTTTAAATTCACTTCCTCCTTATTAAATGTCCAGTTTCCATTGGGTGATTTTCCAACACTGAGGAACTTATAGATCTCCAAGCAGACCCCTGGGGTCTGGAAGCATTGCCGCAGGCTCCCCATACCACTCCCCACTAGGCCCCTGCTCACAGGGTCCTGTGGCCCACACTGTCCTTGGCCGTCCCTTGTCACTGGAGGACTCTATCCTCTTCACTCTCCACTACTGCAGGACTCTCGTTGCCATTGTAACAAGTCCATTAAACACAATCATCCCCCTGTCAAGGAAGAGATGTTTATGCACTCTAGGACTGAGCAGTGTCTCGTCCTGGTGAGAGGCAACAGTGTCTGCTGAGCAACCCGGGAGGGCAGACCCGTTGCCCACATCAAACAAGACAGAGGCCAGGTAGGGTCCTGCGCCGTGTCTGCAAGAAGAGGGGATCCCGACACTCACCCTACTGCCCTGCCATCCTAAGTCTGCCTAAGTGGCTACTGCTGCATCCCACCATAGACACAGTGCTCCTCCTGACAGGGGTCTCACCAGAAGTCACTTATCCTGAAACTGCTCTGAGTGTACACTCAATTTCGCAGAAAAGACCAGAAGGAATACGCAATCTTTTTTAAAGAATTAGTCACTCAGAACATCTGCCTACTTACAGTCAAGCTGGGTTCTGATAAGCAGGTGCTAAAGTCCTTCATAAAGCAATTTCAATGGAGCCATCAGGAGCCAGGTTCCTGTAGAAATTTCCCATGGAAAAGAAGAGAAGCAGGTGACAGGACAGTGTCCCATGGACTGAGCCGTTTCTACACTGGCAACTGCTCTTCTTTCTTTCTTTTCCTGGGGGACAACTCTTCACAGAGGTGAAAATGGGATCTGGTTGAATCTGGTGTGTTTTTGGTTTTTTCCCCTGAATCCTCTGCCCTGTAAGCTCTCACATCCTTATTCCAAAACAAACAGACTGCTTGGGCTTTACTTTCCTTGCCTACAAAGGGAACCTTCAGATCAACTCCTTTATGTCAACATCCCTCAAGCGAGCTGCGCCCCAAATCAAAACAAGTACAATATGAGAAATCACCAACTGTTCTCCACCGCCTCGACACGTCAGCTGCATCCTGAAGAAACAACCTGATTTTTTATGTTACAGGTGATGTAAGAGTGACAGGTGTCTCTTCCTATTAGACCAAAACATTATGGAAGCACTTCTGCTTTACTCCATGGAACATTTTTCATCAAAATGGTTATTCACGACGGGGCTTGTGGTTACTGGAGCTGGGGACTGATCCAGGGATTCTCCCACTTGAAGTGGGCGCTCACCCCTGAGCCAAAGCCTTCCTCTTCGTGCTTTAAACATGTTGGTAACAGGCACAAACGAGCTCCTCTCTTACAGAAAAAGGAGAGAAGCAGATGGAGTTCCCAGAGACTGAAGAGCCACACAGCAACTACCACTCAGAGCAAGATCAAGAGGGTCCCTCTGCAGATGCCTCACAGCACAGGGAGCCCAGTTAAAATGAATAGTGGCCCCCACTCCTGTCATGTGACACCAGAGTGGCAGCTAAGGACAACTGCGGACAGGAAGGACAGTCCATCACTTGTCCAGAGTAGGTTTATTTTGACTTATAAACTGCTTTCAAAGTTATGTGTAAATTCTTTAAATGTGATTTTTAGGTAACCTGGCAAGTCTCGAGTCAGAAGAATGAGCATTGTTGGGACTGGATGACTGAGCTCCCTTTCAACCTTGAATTCTGAGATGCTAAGGAGTCAATGGTCCTGGTAGTTAACAAACAGACAAAACCATGACTATGGCCAGGTATGGTGGTGCACATTTGCCATCCCAGCAACCTGGGAGACCAAGGCAGGAGGATCCCGAGTTCCAGGCCAGCCTGGGCAACTCAGTGATACCCTGTCTCAAAATAAAAAGAGCCAGGCGCAGTGGCGCATGCTTATAATCCCAGCAGCTTGGGAGGCTGAGGCAGGAGGATTGGAGAGTTCAAAGCCAACCTCAGCAAAAGCGAGGCACTAAGCAACTCAGTGAGACCCTGTCTCTAAATAAAATATAAAATAGGGCTGGGGATGTGGCTCAGTGGTCGAGGGCCCTTGAGTTCAACACCCAGGACCCCTCAAAAAATAAATAAATAAAAAGGCTGGGGATGAAGCTCAGTGGTAGAGCACCTCTGGGTCCTATCCCCAGTACCACACCAAAAAAAAAAAAAAATCATGAATCTAAAAATCAGGAGGAAGACTAGATTTCTGTCCTGTGGTTTCACATCATGTCAGCTTGTGAAAAAGGATGAAGAGGAAAGACAAAGAGAAATTAAGGAAATAAATCATCTCACATTTGCAAAGTCTTTTCATGTTATCTCTTAATCCCCCAAATTCTGCTTACAGGCGCAAATTGAGGCAGCACCAGGGAGTGACGGCAAGCAGTTAGAGGCTGACTAGAAAGAAAACAGACTTCCAAGCTGGTGTGACAGGCTAAAAGGGCTCTTCCCAGTGTCTTCAGGATGCCTTCCTGTAAAGATGCCCAGCCCTCTGCAGGAACCACAAGGAACAAGCTCCGATCTGTATGTCAGAGGTGGAGTCCAAAACCGTGGCATAAGTCACACTGACATCCACAAAACTTAAGAGTGAGGCAAGGTTAAGGCTTTCTTCTAGACATCTGCAGCCACCAAACCATTCAAATTTCAACATAATGTTTAGCAGAGGAAACACTCACAAGACTGCTACCACAAAAATAAGCTCATTTTAGCTACTTTAAAAGAAAAAAAGAAAAACAGTTCATTCACATGCTTGAGATGCAGAGTAAACATCCTGAATGAAACCAGTGAAGAGCAAAGAATCCTTTTAAGAGAAAAAAAGCACTGAGCAGGTGAGCCTCATCTTGCTTCTTGAGCGTCAAAACACAACATGCAAAAATAAAGATCTCAATTCCCCCCCTCCACGCCAGCTCCGGTCAGTGAGTTTTGCAAGGACTGTGGTTCTTCACAGCTGTTTGTAATAAATGGTTGGTTAATTCAAATCTGTTCCTCTAACCTTCCTCCCTGAAACAAACAGGATATTGGTCTATTATTATGAAGCTGATAGTCTATGTTTTTCTTTTCCAGTTGAAGAGCATTTAGAAAAAACTTCTATGAATTTTGCATGTCTATGTTTTTCTTTTCCAGTTGAAGAGCACTTAGAAAAAACTTCTATGAACTTTGCATATTTATCTTCTATTGACTATCAAATTCTGTTCCACACTGTTTAACTTTACACCACCAGACACCCCTAAACCAGGACCATCTCCTCTCAGCCAACTCTATGTGCCAGACATCACTTGCTCTTCCAGGCAAAATCCCTCTTATGTTTAGTCTTGTATTTGAGCAAAACTGTTCCTTCTACCTGCCAACTAGAACCTGCCCAACTCCTTTCACCTCTTTGTATACTCTTTTCATTTCTAACCTGTTTATACAGGCTCCCTCCTTGCAGTCTGTAAATGAGATCAGAGGTCCCTTGTCCCAAAAGTTGCCTATTATCAGTGAGGCCAGGAGGCAGTGGGGCAGAAAGGGAGGGATCAAAGAGCTCTTGCAATCTGCACTTGGGTCTGCTTTACATTGTCCATGTGCTCACTCCCAGCCTCTCCTCTCCACGTCCTAGATCTGTTGTTCCAACCTAGCCAACCGCACTTCTGCCTTCCCAAGGAGGGGGAATTTCCTGAGGTTTATCCATGGGTGCTGCCTTTGTTTCAAAACTTCAGCTCTCTGCCTGAACGCTGTTCTGGCCCAGGCCCTCATTTCCACCTGTCTCCCTCGGCCTGTCCTGCCTGTGCCTTTTGGCATCCTTACCTCCAGTTCCACACACACCATAGCTAGAGAAATACCCTGTAAGCATATGTCAACATATGCTACATAACATTTCTCAAACTAATGTGTGTGAATCACATGGTCCAGTGGGTCTGAGGGGGTTCCTGATTATGGAGTTCTGCTGCACTCCAAGGGGATGGTACTATTAGCATTAGGGGACACAGGGACAGACAGACAGATGGACGGACGGACACACACACAATAACCCCAACCTAGCTTCATCTTCTACTTGTCTAGCCTCATCTTCTACTTGTCTAGCCTCATCTTCTACTACTCCTCCCTGCCTAGCACACATATGAATCTCTGTGACACAGCTTACATACACCATAGATGTACATGGAACAAAACATTTCTAAATGTAATTTCCTGCCTTTGTGTCTCTTGCCGATTTCTCAACTCCAATGTCTATCAGAATTCTATCCACTTAGAACCACAGCCTCTGGGACAGGAGTCCCCTGTGTTTCTCCTTTGCTAGGAAAGCAATAATCCTTCTTTTTCCTTTTTTCTCAAAAAAAAAAAATTACCCACTTTTCAAGAACTCACTCATCCTGCTACAGCATGTCTCACACAATGAACACCATGAAAATCCTGGGACACCTATGACACTAATCTGCACTGCTCCTGCTCTGTACTGCCAACAGTGGTCTCCTTATTTCACTCTCATGCTGGACTGCACCCTCCTAGGAGGGCAGGGGCTGCCTGCTCAGCATCTGTAACCCCAGGGCATCTCCAGCTCTGGTCAGTGACAGTACTTGTATTCTAGAAAAACAAAATATCCTACTCCATATAATTTGCAGAGCAGCTGCTTCAGAAGCTTCTTTAGGAAAAGCTCTTCAGAAGAGCTGATTCATTAGCAAGTCTATGACAATTTTGTGACATATGTTACTTAAAGTATCAAATATAAACATTCAAATGGTACCTAAAGAAAGTTACCACTTATGCTATTTATTGTACTCTCCAGGTATACAGATCAAGGTTCTGATACTTGACTGAAAATTAAATCTAACTTGTTATGATCTAGTAATTACTATATTGTAAGTTTAAGATACTTTGTGATCCTAATTCTTGCCCTCCTGGCTTATATGTACCTAATGCTCCTTTTATCCTTCCATCATTCCATTTGTTAAAGAGCACACCACATTCTTCCACGTTTGCTAGGACTGGACGGCTGCAGAAGATTTTATTTACCATTATCATGTCTTGGGTTTGCATTAAGTCTTTGAAAAGTACTTTAAAACATGTACCTCAAAGCAATATGTTTAAGGCGGCTAAGAAATCCTACAAGTTCCGTATATTAGCTGTTAATACAGCAGCCCCTTACCCCCACCCCCGGCTTGTCTGCCTGTTATATTAGCTGTTAATACAGCAGCCCCTTACCCCACCCCCGGCTTGTCTTCCCAAGACCTGAAGACTTCGCTCACGCTGGGCAAGCGCTTGAACCACAAAACTACATCTCCAAACCCAGTAAAGCCTTTGGTATCAAGGAGCGGCCAGTATTCAAGAACCTAACATGTATGGCTCCTAAACTTTTAGAGCGTTCAGGAACTGTCTGCGGCGCTCATTAAAAAAGCAGATCTAGCTCCTGCCCAGCAGAAGCCCCATTCAGCAGCCTCGGGGTGGAGCCTAGAAAACTACACTTAACCCACATCCCAGGTGGTTTTCATGCAGGTGCTCCGCAGACCTCAATTAGAGGAATACTGATCGCAGACCGCGTCAGGGACACCGCGGAACCGTGTCTGAAGGAAAACGTAGACTTCCCTTCCGCAGCCCGTTCTCAAAACAGCTGTCACCGCAGCGCAGGCACCGGGTGATTCCCGCAAGGCAAAAGAGGAAGGGGACGGAAAAGGAGGATTGGAGGACGAAGAAAGCCCGGAAACGAGGACAACCCGCGAGCGAGGCTTCTTTCCAGCCCGCCTGCGCCCGCCCGGGCTGCAAGGACGCCTCCCC